GAATCCAGGTGAAAAAGATTGCTTTTAAGCTCACTGATATCTGATTAATAAGTTACAATCAAGCTTGATACATCTTCTGAACTGATACATCTTCCCCTCACAATGGGACCTGCGTCTATGTATAATACATAGCTATGCAATCATTTCCTGTGATCTCAGGTATGACCAGATCCACCTTCTGCTCCCATCCCTACTTTTCATCTATACCCTTCTACACCCACCTCTTTTTTTTCCTCCTCCTTTATGTTCCATTTTGTATTTCTTCCTTCATTTTTGGTTTTTGATTTCTTTTTCTCTCTTTATTATCATTTAACTCTCTCCAGTCCTTCATCCCTGCCTACCATCCACTTCCTTGTCTAGATCTGTAGTTGTAAGGCCCCCTCACCAGACCTTACCCTTGTTGTAAAGTAAATACCACATGCTGTGAGCAATGGTTGTAATCAGGGTCTTACAACAAAAAACAATAGGCTTTGGTCTCCTCCAAAGCTAGTCCATGTGGTACAGTTGCCTTATGGTTGCCCAGGCATTTATCTACCTGGAATGTGTCATGATCTAATGTACACAGACTCTGCTACACAGAAAACTTTAGTTTATTGATAATACTCTTTCTACTGCTCTGGTTTGTGTACCTCAAAATGGTACTGCTTAGGCATCTGTTCCACATTCTGCCTTGTACTCTTTTTTCATCACTGGTTATCTTTTCTTCATGTATGCAACAAAAATCAAAATGAAAAATTAAAAAGAATACTGTGGATGTAGTCACTATATAATTTTAAAGGTTTTTTCAGTGACATAAATACAGTTTAATTTTTTAATTAAAAAGTTGGTTATTGTCTCTCCTGCTAAAAAGGCAGCCTAATTCAATGACTAAATACTGTGCACATATTCACATCAATATTTCTGTGTTCTTTTCTCTGAAATAAATACTCTCTAATGTTGATTTGTTGATTAAAAGCTGGATGATGTCCTTCCTATTCAAAATGTGGCCTAGAAAAACTGCTTGAGTAATGTGCATGGATTAAAAGCTGGATGATGTCCTTCCCTATTCAAAATGTGGCCTAGAAAATTGCTTGAATACTGTGCACATGGAGTCAGTGCAATATTTCTTGCCATTTTCAGTGAAATAAAACACTGACCAAAACAAACACCAAAGTCTGTATAAGCAGCATTTTTATACCCAGTGTGTATGGACCCTAATAGTTGTTTTAAATACTCCGCATGGAGTCAGTACAGTAAGTATGGTTATTGCCCCTGAAATAATACACATTCCTGGTCTCTCGCTCTTGCAGCCTAATAAAGCTGCTTATGTAATGTGCATATATTTACACAATGTTTATCACTATTTTTTGTGAAAAAAAAACTGTATCAATTAGTTCCTGATTAAACATGCCTGTTTCTTTTTCTGTTCATTGAGTGTGTGTGCTCTCTTCTTTCTAATAATACTGTCCACATACCATGCTTTGCTTGAACAAATTATTTTACAGCTATTTATGAAATAATGCATTCTTATTTTTATATCTTAGTAAAAAACATTCCTTGTCTTTATCTTTGAATTTGTGGTCTAAAAAAGCTGCTTAAATTTTGTTATAGTAGTTTCACCCTGTCTTGTTTCTTTGTATCCTTTAGTGCCTCTTCTTCTTGTTTTTGAACCTGGGTATCCCGTTTAAATGGGAAGTCGAGGGTAAATCCATTTTCTCCACCACTGATTCACATGAGTAGTCCAGACCAAAGTTTGATCTAATGTATCACACTCTGTGTCTGAAAAACTCACTCATTTACCTGGAGTGCCGGCTCTGTATTCCCTTCATTGTGGTGAGCTCTAAAACGTTGTGGTTTCCTCCAAATAAAACACTGTATTCAACATAATCAAATCTATCCCTCAGTAATTTTTCTTTTGTTGCCGGCAATTACTTCCTTTTTCAATCCTATCCAATTTCTTTTTGAGCTTGACATCCAGTTCCTGAAAACTGGGATGATCTTTAAATGGTATTATCTCCTTTTGTATACTGGAGATTTCCAGTACACTGGAGGGTATGCGATACCCTGAGGAAGTCACATGATTAGTGATGAAACTAGCTTGGTGAAGCTGTTGATATAATTTCCTGATGTGCTATTTTGAAGTTGGGTGAGAAAACTCCATGTTTCAGTTGGATTCAATGCTGTATTTTATTATACCACTGTAAGTACATTCTGTATGTTGCGAAATAAATAGTTTTTTAATCATTACACGGGTGCGTTATGATTACTATTCCCTTTTTTTTTCCACATTGGACCAGCAAGGTGAGGCCTCTTAAATGGACCACATGTGGAAGTGGCTCTGCAAAAAGCCAGAGGTTGATCTGCAGAAGGATACTCATCTAAGCACAGTGAGACCTAATTCTTTTAGGTCTACTATTAAGGTGAGCAAGCACTGCACTTAGAGGTGGGAATTTGCAGCACTGGGATTTGGAGCACTTATACAAGCACGTGTATGTGTTTGGAGGACTGATCACATTGTATGGACATTTGCAAGTGAGTTAGTGTTTGGCATTACAGATCACAGTATACTGTGTAGAATTGACTGTTTTTCATATATTGTATGATTATTACAATTGGTTGCAAGCTTTTGCACATTATTGTTATGTTATTTTTTAAAATAAAATTCTCTGTGGATATGTGAAGTAATGATTTTTAAAGGAACAGAGCACCATTTTTTCTATACATCTTGCAAAGCCCACAACTTGATTCTGGTGCCTGCTGTGAATGTGAAGGACAGCCCAGGATGCCTCCGCATGCTGCAGATTCTAACGAGTCCAGTCACAGTGCTGGCTGTGAGTTTCCCATCTAGTGCCTGCCTGTCATTCCATCTACTCCACCCAAGTCCCTAGTTGCACCCTAGTGTGGATATTGTCTTCCCAATAAATGAATTTATGGTTTATTAATCATGTAACCTGGCAATCGTGCCTCTTACATAATATCGCAAGAAACGTAATAAAACAAATAAATAAAAAGCGTGCTTTGAAGCAAACTTCTATTGTACAGACATTTGCATAACACCAAGGCTACCTCATGGGGGGGAGGAAAGGGAAACCAGCCAGCCTGTTCTCAGTAAGTGTTCCCCCTTTACCTATGCCACCAGATTTAATAAATGTAATTGCAGCTATGGCAAACAAGGAAATGAAAAAAGGAGTGCTTTGGGCCACACCACTTTTATGCAGAAGTGTGCACTGATATGCCATACTCCAAAGGTATCTTTGCTTGTTTCAGCTCCAAAGGTGAAACCAAAGTCAGTTTGTAGGAGGTCTACTCCCCTATTATGTATTCCCCTCTTCACCCATGCCTACAGAGCAGGGGATCCAGTTCTTCACCCTACTAACGTAGAATGGGACACTTTCTCCTGGATGATGGCATAGATCTCTGCAAGAATGTGCCTTTGGACCAATGAGTGAAGTGCCCATCTTACATTTCCACCTCCTTATTACCATTAATTCTTCTCACTGCCAAACCCCAGTACTTCTCCTACTCACCGTCAGCAATCCACCTGTCCTCTTCACCACCAGCACACCAATATTCATTGTAGTACTTCTCATCTTTTTCCAGCTGTCTCTGCCTCACAGTGATGGAGACAGTAGGCAAAGGATACAGCTAGCTCGGAGACAGCAGGATGTCTCCCTCTTCTTCTGACTGCTAAACCACCAGTTCATGGTCTCTTACACCATGCAGTGTGTGCTCCAAAATTAAGCTCACTATGTCTCCAAGACATACTAAATCAAATCAGTACGGCAGCATTTTGACAGGGCTGTTGTATAGGTTATGTAGAGGACTGGTGGCTTTAGGGAGTCACCAGATGAGGCCAATGAGGAGAAGGGGGGGGAGGGAGGTGACTCTGCTGTCACTATCACCAAGGTGCTCGATATGGGGTAGCACCACCAACTTTGCTGAGATGCCCCATCCTGCATCCTTCCCAGTCACCAGCAAATTTGCCTAGTGTGTTGTGAAGAAGATGTAATATCCCTGCCAATGCTCATTGGACCTCATGTCTGTGGTCATGTAGATCCTGCTGCTCACTGAATGGTCCAACAACAAAAAGACATTACTTTGTACATGCTAATGGAAGGTATGGCCTTCTGAGCCAAAAGATGGTGGCAAAATCACTGGAGGTACAGCACAGGCCATTATCTAATGTAAGTCAAGCAGGTATGGAGATGCTGGACACGTAGATGATTATGGGACATTTTTTCTTCCACTGCACCTGTGGAAGAGACACCTGCCTCCTGTCTGCAGACCCACACAACTACTGCCCAGGGTTGTGGGGAAGAGACTCTTGTCCCCATCAACATGAGGAGAAGGTGCTTTAGAGGGGAGAACTCCTTCTGCTCCAAAGCATCCCTCCATGTTGAGGGTATGTGACCTGAAATGGTTAAGAAGGGGGGGTAGTCACTCACCCCCCTCCTGACCCTCCGGGCTGCATGCTCAGATAAAGGTCTGGTAAGGATTGGGGGGAGACCCCAATGCTGTCTTTTTAAAAAAAAATGTTAATGTCGGCAATTGTTTTGTTTACATTCTGCTGTCAGCGTGGAATCCCATTGACAGTAGGTGAGTCATGGTTGTTAAGGATGCCATGGCCAGCTGTTCCTTAACAACCTTCTTTTGTGATTTTGAATATACAAAATCAATGCCAAAGATACAGAACAAATTCCAAAATGTATTTTGTATCTTCAGCATTCTTTTTTTTATTCTTTAATGTTATTCCAAATCCAATGCAAAAATATACAAAACAAATGCAGGAGAAACGTATCTCGGAATTAGTTTTTTGTATTATTGGCATTTGTTTTATATGTTTGGAATGGCATTAAAACAAAAAAAAAAAACAGCGTTGAGGTCCCTCCCCCCAATTTTGAGGGGAATACCATGCTAAAATTAAAAAAGAAAAAAGGCTTGTGGCCCTCCCCCAAATCCATACCCGACCCTTACCCAAGCATGCAGCCCAGCAAGTCAGGTAAGGGGGGGGGGATGAGTGAGTGCACAGCACAGCCATTCAGAGCAGTGTGCTTACAGTGAAGCACCAACACACCGCCCCCCCAGTAAAACACTCCCTGTGCACAGTTAACCCTTTGATCGCCCCTCATGTTAACCCCTTCCTGTCCAGTGCCATTAGTACAGTGTTAGTGCTTTTTTTTTTTTTTTTAGCACTGATCACAGTATTCGATTGGTGTCACTGGGGATGTCAGTGACACCAAGTCAGTTTCCCCCAGTGTCAGAATGCTCGCAGCAATCAAAGTCGCTGATCGCTGCCATTAGTAGTTGAAAAAAATTAATTCCAGTATATATATTGCCATTTGTAAATGCTATAACTTTCACTTAAACCAATTAATTTACAGGTTTTGGGATTTTTTTTTTTAGCAAAGACATGTAACAGAATACATTTTTGGCCTAAATTTATGATGAAATTTGATTTTTTAAACTTTTTACTGGATATGTTTTTATAGCAAAAAAGTCAAAAATATTGTTTTTTTCTCAAAATTGTCAGTCTTTTTTTTTTTATAGTGCAAAAAAAATAAAAACACAGCCAATTAAATACCAGGAAGCTCAATTCGTGGGAAAAAAAAGGATGTACATTTCATTTGGGTGCAGCATTGCAATTGTCAGTTAACCTCCCTGGCGGTATTCCCGAGTGTAGCTCGGGGTTAATTATCAGTGCCAAAAGCGGTAACCCCGAGCTACACTCGGGATTACCCTGCAGCGTTGCTCACTGGGATTCCTCTTGCACTTACCTTGTCTCCTCCGGCTGATGCCTGGGTTTCGGTCCCTGTGAGCGTCGAGATGTTACGGGAGCCAGAACTGGCGGGAAATTTAAAACATTTTAAAAAGTGACATTCACTAAATTCACTAAAATCACATAGTAAAACATTACTGTATCAAAGCATTTCACATACATTTTGTCCCTAGTGCTTTGTCCTGTGCCCTGCCTGCATTTTTACTGTTCTTCCTGCCTGGAAACTGAGAAACGTCCAAAAGTGTCCCTTTATGTCAAAATCGGTTTTAGACCAGCTAGAGAACAGCGATAGTAAATCAGAACCACTTGCAGAATTGAGTGATAATGATTCGTGGGGAAATTCTGTCATCAGACACTGAAAACGATTTTGCGACTTTGCTCAGCGATGTGCGAACTTGGTGCTATATTTCAAATTTCACTGTTTATGGTTTGATTATATTATTGAATTACATTTATTATGAAATATATTATTATTTTTTATGATTATTTATTATATGATAATTTATGATTTCGTGTTTTCAAATTTTAACATATCCAGGATGTTTACTAGACTCTTGTTCGGACAGATTTCAGTGAGTTATTCCTACAAATTACAGGCCTACAATAAATAACCGACGTATTTCCATGCAAAAAAATGTACCGCTTTGAGCACAGAAATACTGACATAATAAGACAGCTAGGGAGGTTAAAGTATTGCAAAAAATGGCCTGGTCAGGAGGGAGGGGGGGGGGGGGGGGTAAATACACAGGAGGGCAAGTGGTTAATGTCGGCATTGTTTTTTGTTTACATTCTGCTGTCAGTGGGGAATCTCGCTAACAGCAGATAAGTCATGGTTGTTAAGGCCACCACGGCCGACAGTACTCCCTGCTCCTTAAGGGCTCGTTCACACTTGACTAATTTCTAACTCTTCCCAAATGCCCCTATAGCAGGCATAAGACAGCATTTGGGAAGCATTTTTTATGCTCCTCAAACGCTCCCCAAATGCCCTATGCATGTTTTTGAAGCATTTTCCAAGCGTTAAAACCTCACTACAAATGTCTATAATGAAGTTAAATGGTTATTAATGCCCGCAAAACCATCGCCTTGCAAATGTCCAGGAGAGGAGCATCACCATACACGTGAATGGAAGGCTTCAATTCTCCTGACTGGATATGAGGCGTGAATTTTGCTGCGACGCTAAATCTTCAGTGTGAACAACGCTGTGTGCTTCCATGTGTATAATTTTCATAGTCATTTGAGGAGCGTTAAAAAACGCCCCTCAAACGCCTGGAAAACGCCTGCTAACCAAGCTAGTGTGAACTTAGCCTAACAACCAGCTATTATCGAATGAATTAAAATAATTTGTTTCATTTGAATGCTTCTAACATCCAAATGAAACAAATATATTTCATTATTTCCTTAATGTCTAGTCGGAATTCGTTGGAATTCATTACTGTTGTATTCAGAAATTCAGATACATCTGAATTTCCAAATAATGAAATTTCATCCAAATTTCAATTGAGATTGAAATTCATGTACTGTCATGAGTAACCAATTTCTACCAAACACATACCTGAAGTCTATATTTCAAATATTTTTGGAATATTTTGGGATAGAAGAATGAGAGGGGGGTTGGGGAATGAAAAACAAAAGCTCACAAACTATACTATCAAGCTATTGTGCCACTGGCCAATTTACATGAAGTTGAGGATTTTAGTTTTTTTTTTTGAAGAGAACAATTTTCATAGCTTTGAGACCTGTGATTCATTGGTCAAATCAGGCCTGTTATTGTTGAATTATGTGTTGCATCTCAAACTACCTACAAAAGCAGGTTATAATGAATCAGACAGTTGTGTTGTTGATTCTATACACACAGTACATATTAACCATTTTCAATACGGGCAATTTTACACCTTCCTGCCCAGGCCAGTTTTCACGTTTCAGCGCTCTCACACTTTGAATGACAATTGCGCGGTCATACAACATTGTACCCAAACTAAAATTTTATCATTTTCTTCACACAACTAGAGCTTTCTTTTGGTGTATTTAATCACCGCTGGGGTTTTTATTTTTTGCTAAATTAACAAAAAAAAGACCAAAAATTTTGAAAAAAAACACGTTTTTCTTTGTTTCTGTTATAAAAGTTTGCAAATAAATAATTGTTCTTCATAAATTTAGGCCAAGATGTATTCTACTACATGTCTTTGGTGAAAATAACCCAAATAAGGATGTATTTTTTAGTTTGTAGGAAAGTTATAGAGTTCACAAACTATGGTATATATCTGAATATTGATCAATCCTGAAGTACTGACAGCCAATCTAATTTCTTGAGGTCCAAGAATGTCAGAATAGTACAGATATCCCCAAATGACCCCTTTTTGCAGAGTAGACATTCCGACGTACTTCATAAGAGGAATGGCGAGTTTTTTGAAGTTGTATTTTTTTTGTCATAATTTTTTGGAAAATGAAAAAAAATTAAAAAAAGTATTTTCACTATTTTTTTTTTACATACTGTCACCAGTGCAGTACAGCATCATCATATAACTGGCATAGCGGTGAAACAGGGACACTGACTGGTGACAGTATGAAAAAAAAAATTATATATATATTTTTTTATTTTTTTTAATTTTTTTATTATTTTAAATTCTTTGTTACATTTTTTTTATTTTTTTTTAAGATTTTTTTTCATATTTTACTGTGACCAAAGTAGTACAATGTTACCATAGTAACATTGTACTACTTTGGGGAAGTGATCAGTATTTTTTTTTTTTTTACACAATTTGCTTATAGCAAAGAATTACTTTGCTCTATAAGCAAGCTTTTACCTGAATGACATCGATTCATTCAGGTTTTTTTTTTTTTTTTGTGCTTAGCTGTGATTTGGCCACAGCTAATCACATGACATGTGCATGTGACGTGCTGTGACCATTCACAGCTAGGCAATAGTATAACAATGGATGGCATGAATGAAGCCATCCATTGTATACAACTGTCATGTGAACTGCTGTGATTGGTCACAGCAGGTCACATGGTTACGGCAACGGGGACCAGTACTCAGATCTGTCATCGGCCGTGTCCGAGGTACACGCCGGTGACAGATCGCGCCGCTGCGTGGCTCTGCAACCCCCTACCGCGCGAACTGCGCATGTGCGGGAGGACGCCAAATGGCGTATACCCCGGAAAGCTATAGCATTTTTGCGGCCGCCAAACGGCTATAGGCCGGGCGGCTAATGGTTACACATGTGATGTCAGAATATGTTGTCCCATGAGAATCATACTGTTTCATAATACCACATACAGCTTAAAAGCATCTCCCAATGTGTAATTGAAAGGATTGGTGTTTTTCCTATGTCGCTCTCAAAGGACTACCCAATCCTAGCTAAACTGTATTTTTTTTTGCAAAGGTCCATGTTCCTTATAGCAGTGTCCAGCTGCCCATGCCCTTTGACAATCCCTTGATATTAGCCCTGCAAATGCCCCAAATTGATTTTTGAAAAGATTGAAAATATTTGCCCACACCCATAGACTTCAATAGGATTTGGTTTTAAGTACACGATTTTCAGACTTAGGTTTGACATACAGCCTATGAACTGTAAGCTGATATTTGTTGCTGTTTACACTCATTATTTACATTTTTCATTAAAACATGTTCATGGGTATGCAGTTATGTTCTAAATATTGTCATATACATGAGATATTTTATTCATTAAATGCCTGTTTCAGAAGACAGCAGATATTAAAAAAAGAGAACAGTGACAGATGAGCAGCCTTTGCCAATTCATAATCAATCATAAGATTCCTCTCTAGAATTTATTGTCCTTGTTCAAAGGTGTCCTTGTATTGCTCACTGTCACAGCACCTGAAACAAGGTGCATATGTCATTCTTTCTACGACAACACAGTTCAGTTTTTATTTTTATTATGAACCTTTTTGTTTTTTATCAGAGGGGAAGTATAGTGTTTTATCCATTTTCATATTATTTTCTAAATTAAAAAAAAATACAAGCTTTAAAACATATGCATTTCATTTGTCAGCTATATATGAATATTGTTTTGTTTTTTTTAATTGCTTTTTAGCCAGAGGGTGAACACTGGAATATTTTTCTTATGTATTCTGTCTATATTTAGCTTGCTAAAAGAAAAAGTAATAATAAAGCCTGCTGTTTACGGAGCTCAGTAACTCAAGCTTAAAAAATGTATATAAAAAACTGACTGACTCAGGAAGGTGACATGTCCTTGCCCTCTCCCCCTTTTTATCTGTCCAGGCAAAGCCAAACCAACAGTTTTTAGGCACAAAGATATTGAGGATCAAACATTATTTTTAGGGAATGTGGACTTTTAGGAAATTTTATTAAATAGTACAAAATAGAACACCTTGGTTTGCAAATGTGTAAGTTGGGAAATTCCCACTTTTCAATTCCTACACTGTCATTCATAATTACTTCATTAATCAAACAGAAAACATTATCTGCGTTGGGAACTGTTTTTTAAGACTTCAGACTGACTTTATGCGTGTCAAAACATGAAATGACTAGGCAGAAAAGACAGGATCGGAAGACACATTCAACCCTAGAAAAAAAAAAC